CAAGGTGCATATGACTTTCTTCTTTCAGACGAATACAATCAGCATTATATTTAAAAAAATGTCCTGGCTCTTCCAAGCTTTATAATGGCAGTGAATAGGTGATATTCAATAGTCCAATAGAAGTCCAATAAACTGCATCTATCCATCATAAAAAAGTGCTCCAGATGGCTTCGGGGGTTAATATAGGCTTCCTGAAGCGAAGTCATGGGGCAATTTTCATTTTTGGGTGAACTATCCCTTTAAGCAATATAGTATCATATAATATAATGTAATATATACATAAATGATTTAATAATGTAGCAGAAGGAAGTGGGTGTCTACATTTGAACATATTCACTGAATATTTGAATCTTACAATTCACTGATAAAAAATGTTAACCAAAGATTACAATTTACATCTGTAAAATACAATTTTATATATTTTATAATTAATATGATATAACAGAGCCCCTTTTTCCCCAATAGATGCCACAATGCAGTAGAAATTACAATAAGAAAATTAAAATTACAATACAAGACATGAGTTCACTGTTCATCACTATGATGATTTCTTTTCAGATATTGTTTTTTAACTGTAATTACAATATGAGACATGAGTTCACTGTTCATCACTATGATAATTTCGTGTTGCGAGATTTTTTTTTTAGCATTGAAAAAAAACATTTCAGCTGAACTTGTTGACAGTCATGCTTGATTGTCAGTGTCAATTTCTTCAACAAACAATGGCCTTTGGCTGTAGAAGCAACATGGTCAAGTGGTGTAACTGGTTTGTGTCAATTGGTGTAACCAGTAATTTTCATAAAAATATAATTATATACAGGAAAATTAATGTGGAATAAAATGTAGTCATCTAGTTTAGTATAATAATATGGTTTTTAATATTTTTTACATAATTTGTCAAAAGATTATTTAGAAAACAGAGATGTTTTCAGCATATGTCCTGCCATTTATTGCAAAAACGCATTAAAATGTACATTTAGAGATAACTCTAAAATCTATTTTTGTGTGATATTTTAAGTGAAGTATTTATTTCTATGAGTAAGCTTACATGCCATCTAGGTGGATAAAATATTTAATATTTCTCATTCTTTGGCGGTTACACCATTTGACATTTTCATGTACATTCAGTCTTAACTTTTGTAAAAAAAATGGTACATATGTCATTTTTAATTACATAAAATCAACATAAACACGCTGTGTACATTTTAAAATACCTGATGCATGCTTTTAAAACAAGTTTTTAAAATATTTTTTAATTTCTCATCTTGACAACCCCTTTTTGTCACTGACCCATATCCATTGTTTCCATAGCCAGTGCGGCAGCAAAGCTTTGAGGTTTTTGTGCAGTTTTTCTGTTAGAGATACTTTTTCCTGAGTAAAAATCTTTCTACTCTTGCTTTAACAGCATACATGTAGGCGTAAACTGGGTTAATGATTAATTATATAATAAATATGAAATATCAGAAATATTAACAGTAATTTTTGGATGTTGGTTTTTAAATACCTAGTTCAAAATTGTCTGAAATTAGTTTCTTTTGTGTGTGAATTTTATTCTGCAAGCTAAAAATTCATAATATAATAATTTAAAATCTAATAATAAAATAATTTATATAATAATGAAATAGTATCATCATACAGTAGGTGTTGTTTAAACAAGTAAACACAATGAAATCACACTGGCAAACATACATTTCATTAAACATTTTGTGTTTCATAATTGATTTACTGCTAGCATTTAATAGGCTATTAAAGGGGTCATATAATGTCAAAAGCTGTTTGTGAATAGATAAGATCCCTAAAGTTGCAAAGATTAAAGTCTCAAACCCAAAGAGATATTCTTTATAAAAGTTAAGACTTGTCCACGCCCTCCTAAAATGCCTCGTTTAAACACGCCCCCACATGTCTACGTCACTGTGTGGGAAGATTTGCATAACACCGCCCAAATGTTCATGCAAAGAAAGAAGGCGTAACTTTTATTCTCGCTGTAGTATTGTTGCCGCCGCCGCCATGTCGTGGAGACGCTGTGTGTTTCGTTGTGAAAGTGAAACTACTTTGTTTGGTCTTCCAAAAGAGGACACAACTAGAAATCAGTGGTTAAGTTGTATTTACAACACTGTTCCAGAACAGTTCAACCCAAATATTTGTATGTGTGCATGGTAAGGGGCATAACATTTCTGTCACACGCATGAGGTATTCGGCCAATCACAACGCACTGTATAGCTGACCAATCAGAGCACACCTCGCTTTTCAGAATGATGAGCTTTGTAAAAATCTACGCATTTCAGAAAGGCGGGGCATAGAGGAGAAACAATAATGTACAGTATGTGGAAAATAATGTGTTTTTTTAACCTTAAACCGCATAAACACATTTCATTACACCAAATACACAAAATAATGTTCTTTTTTTAACAACGTCATATGACCCCTTTAAATTGCAAGTTCTAACAGGTTCTGAATCAGTTCGATTCGTTTGAACAAATCATTTAGTCCTATTTTCTGAACTGGGTCAACCAATTCACCGAAAAGGTTTGATTCAAAAGAATGACTCGTTCACGAAGAGAATCAACGCCACAGGAGAGCTAGTGCAGGATTTTCGGCGAATAACTTACGTTTTAATCTGTTCCTTACACAAAGCTACCATAAGGCTTCTGAAGACTTGGAATATTGTGCATGAGTCGTATGGACTGCTTTTGTGGTATGTTAATAGTGACAATTGTCATTTTGGACCTTGACAGTCCTCATTCAATTTCATCATATCGTTTGTGTTTCACAAAATATAGAAAATCATACAGATTTAGAACAACATCGGAGTGAGTAAATGAATCTTATAAACATGAACTATTCCTTTAAATATATACAGAAAGTGACTTCAAAAATATTCACGTGACAACAAGCCCCGGTGTTCTGTACATACTGTAACTTCTCTGCAGTTCTTTCTTCCTCTTATCTTTTTTACGAACTCACTATGGCTATTCAGTTTCTCATATGTCCTCCGTCTCTCTCTCGCTCTCTCAATTCATTTTCAACGTTCTCTCCCTCATTGTTAAATCTCAGCAGTAAATAAATGGTGAGAGTGACAGATCAGTGAGCGCGGTGCGCAGAGAACTTCAAGAAAACGTCACAACCGAGTCAGAGCGAGAAACGAGTTAGAGAGAGAGAGAGAGTAGTGAGAGGGACAGAGAACGAGGGAGGATATATTGATACAAAACGACGGTGGTTTCTCTTCAGTGTGTGTGAGAGAGACCATGAGTGAAGACAAGATGGAGTGCATGAACAGATGAAGACTGTCATTGGGTGGGTGAGAGTGTGTATATATCTGTCTGAGTGCCTTTTTTTTTTGTCCACTTGATAATGCAGGTTTATGTATCAGCTTGACCACCTGTTAGTGTGAGTGTGTCTGTGTCCACATGCATGCATGTTGCCTGCAGGTGTATTTCTTCATGAGTGAACACATTTCAAATCGGGTTTAATGATTATGTACTAGTAGCTGTTTATTTGCACTTCTGCTTAACTCTGCATGTGCTTGCGTCTCTGTGCTTGCCAACATGTGTATGTTATTCAGCCTGACAGCCTTTGTGTGCGTGTGACAGTGTTTTTGCATAACAGTAGCCTCATTGTGTGTATGAACGTGTTGAAATAACTGTCTTGCCACACATCTGCAAATATTATTGTTGATTGTGATGTTATTTTTTGTGCAACATTTTATTTTTAGTCAAATTATGGAAGAGGTGAATTAAAATCAGGCAGCATGTTGTGTGTTTGATATTTTAGACTTTTAGGTCATTTTTGTGGCATTTCTATCATTCACACAAAACAAACAAGGGAGAAAAACTTTGTTTTGACTCATAACAGTGACATTTTATCATGCTTATTCTATTTTTGGCTTGTTAGACAGTCTAGTTCACGAGACAAGAATCTTACGAACTACAGGAAAAGATGTGAAAAACAGGTTGAAAGAGAATGTGTGAGACTGAGATAGAACGCACAGAAGAGGACTCGTATGAAACAGACACTAGGCCTATATCTCTGTCCTTAGGGAGGTAGCGTAATCAAAACAGCCGCATTACTGGTAATGAAAGATATTATCAGCAGAAAGTCTGTCACACATCTTTATCTGTCTGGATCAGGGGCCGTGGGGCATTCTTCTGTTTCACTTGTCACATCAAACGTTTTGTTTTAGTTTTGCTCAGGACAAAAATTGGCACCACCAAATTGGTTGAAATTGTGTAAGATAAGAGATTTTGAATTAAAGGCATACATCACAAAAATGATTTCCTTCCTTCATGTTTTTCTAAACCTGTACTTTGTTTTTACGGGACATAAACGAAGATATTTAGCAGACTGTCCGAGCTGCTTTTTTCCACAGTGAAAGTATAAGGAAATTGCCAATTTTGGGGTAATTCATGGTATTTGGGTCGTTTAATTATTATTATTATTATTTTTTACTTTATTTTAAGGGAAGAGGGAAAATAACTTTTTCTTTTTCTTTTTTTGCATAAAGCATAAAACTTGATTGGAATTATTTTGAAAACAAGAAAAAATATTTGGTAACGGGATAAACATGAAAAAAACTTAAGCTTAACTTAAAAATGCCAAATAAAATTAATTCAAAAACAAAATTACCTGAAAACAAATCCATTATCTTACACAATTTTGTTTCTCAAGTAAGTTTTAAGGATCTTGTTTTAAGGATGTTTATATACTGTATATATTTTTAGGAAAACTAGACCCCAAAAAAAAGCACATTAATACGATGATTTTTGATTGCAGTTTATGGGATGAGAAGGATGTACAGGATGGCCACATGGGTCAATGTTATCTTGTTTTTATTTCAATACATTTCATTTCATTATTTATTAATAAAGCACATTTAAAACAACCCAAGGTTGACCACACCATACATAGTATTTATATTTTATTTGTGTAAAACAGTTTTTTTCTTGAATTAAAATTTTTTTACAGTTATGTTGTTTTAAAAAGTTCTTTCTTTCTCTCCACAGTTCTTTCCAGTGGTCCTGATGAGCGTTTCCAAACCACCTCCGCCCCATTCCCATTTCCCTCCCAGTAACCCTTCCTCCCATCTCCCCCTGCCTCCATCCTCCTCTACCTCCCCCTCTCCCTCCACCCCTCCCTCCGCTGCGGGTCTCCCCAGCCCCGCTGTGCCTCCTCCTCCCTCCCCAGTCAAGATCTCCATGCAGGAGCACTTTGCCATCAATGTGTGCCCTGGCCCCATCCTCCCCATCCCACAGATCTCTGACTTTTTCCCTCGTTTCCACGACTTCCCCATCACCCCCCTTCCACCCCGGGAGAAACAGGTTCTAAAGGACAAAGACAAGGACGGAGACGGGAATGGAGAGAAAGACCGTAAGAGGGAGAGAGAGCAAGGGGAGAATGGAGAGTTTGCCGACTCGGATGACGATGACAGTGAGTTTGCCTCGTGGCTAGTGACTGTTTCACATTGGGTTCCCTTTGGGTGGCTTACACATGTGTTTACGCTCTGCTCTTCCTCTAAGTAATCGTTCTGCTGATGCGTTTTTCACAAATCTACTGACATCCCTCTGGTACAACCTGGGGTTAAGTGCTTTTCTCAAGGACACAATGGTAATAGTGCTAGAATGAGTCCTTGTGGCCTTTGAACCTACAAACTTTGTCATTACAAGCCCAATTCTTTAACCACATCAGCCCAATCTCTTTCTTTCTTCACATAATGTAAAAACATGCTTCTGTATTACATAACTCCTCACATTCATGAATGTGATGTTTCCTGTTCTGGATTCCCTTTGTTTGATTGACTGATTTTATTCACCACTAAGCAGCCAATGAGGCATGAGTGCTTCCCATCGGCCTGGACCTCAGTCTCATATTGTTTGGTATTGATTGCTTTGTGTGGTGTTTGCTGGATTGGTGCGAGTGCGTGTGATAACTGAGGTACGCGATTGGAGTGTTAAATACTTCATTAGACTCTGTAATGATGCATAAACACTACAAGCCCTCTGTATATGCACAGCCCTGATTAGGTCGTTGCAGGCAAGACTGATTCCCAGCTAAGTCATTTGGGTTGTTATTGGCTGCTATTTTTGCTAATGTGCATGCAAGTCATTAAGTTATTCCTTTGTTTCTTTCAGCCTACCTGGGAACTCTGGAGTTCAGCCTGCTATTTGACCAAGAAAATAACTGCTTGCACTGCACCGTCCACAAGGCTAAAGTAGGTTTACACTCACACAAACACTACTGGGTGTTTCTACAACTATAGACATTTTCGGGCTTGCAGTTTTAGAAAATAAACACTTTAAAGCATGCTTTCCACACTATCACTCGTCTACTGACAATGTCCGACAGTTGATGTTTTTGTTATTTTTTTCCTAAACTAACGAGCATTTCCACCACTTCTAAAATGATGTATTGTGTTTAATAATAATCTGTGATGGAACATTTTAAAAATAAAACAACAGACTGCTGTCTTGCTAGATAGCTAGAGTTTATGTATCGCAAATAAAATAAAGTTCTATTTTTACACGTTTTGCATCATTTGACAGAATTAAAGCTAGTTTGGAAATGACACAAATTATATTAAATTGTGCAAAATGTGCTTTTGGGAGAAAAAACAAGTAGTTGTAGAATGTAATAATGAATGTGTTTATCGTGGGTTTTCATATTTTGAGATTAAATGTCTTGGTCTGGGGACAAAAGTAGAAAATCTGTACATACAAGGAAAAATTTAAACGTTTCCAAGACCGTTTCAATGTGACTTTCATATTACAAAAACAAAAAAGTTGAAGTAAACCACTGGAACATAAAAGTGCCTGAACACCCTTTTAACAAAATTGACGTTTTGCGTCTTTTAGTCAGTTATCTTTGATTAGAGTACTTTTTAAAATTAAAATATTTACAAATTGCACAAATCTTTTTCAATATGCTATTAGTATTTTGTCATTATTATTTATTATTATTTTATTTCATTTACTATAAATACATGGGTCTTTTTTAATACTGATGACTCATACTGCACTCATTTACAAAATATTGTCCAATAAAATGTACTCTTTAAATTTCTCTACCCAACACCACTAAAACTGACCAGCAAAAGCAAGTAGCATCATGTATTTAAAGGGTTATTTCACCCAAAAATGAAAATTCTGTCATTAATTACTCACCTTCATGTAGTTTCAAACCCGTAAGACCTTCGTTCATCTTCGGAACACAAATTAAGATATTTTTGGTGGAATCTGAGAGCTGTCTGACCCTGCATAGACAGCAACGCAGCTGAAATGCTCCCAAGTCCAGAAACATAGCAAGGAGATCTGTAAAATAATCCATGTGACATCAGGGGTTCATCTGCAATTATACGAAGCTACGAGAATACTTTTTGTGCACAAAAGAAAAAATAATAACGACTGAAGAATATCTGCTGGAGGTAAACAGTGTATGCTGTTCTGTGTCAGCTGCGTCACGCCGGATCTGTTTCCTACGTTGTTGTGATTTGGTTGTTGTGATTTGATCTGAATGGAAACAGCATATCCATGTGACGCAGCTGACACAGAACAGCATACACTGTTTATGTCCAGCGGATATTCTTCAAAATGGCACCAGGTTGATGCGGAGGAGATGAATTGTTGAATAGAGTGTTCCGAAGATGAACGAAGGTCTTACGGGTTTGAAACGACATGAGGGTGAGTAATTAATGACAGAATTTTCATTTGAACTAACCCTTTAAACAGATAATTTACTAAACATAAAATTTGCTTGCTTGTCATCTCCCAAATGAAAATATACTGCAATCTTAAGCAATCAAACAACAAACAAACAAACAAAAATGTTTTTCTAAGTTAAACAGTCTTGACTGTAATGTTACCCATGTCAGAGTTCGAGGATTCGCCTCTGGTCCACTCCATACAGAGAACCATGCACCCTAAAGTGTGCATATCACTGTAAGGATATGATCCATCAACCTCTCACCCCAGACATGTGTGTGCATCTTTTGTGACATGAAGTCTGTGTGCTTTTGTGTGTTTGTTTGTGCCCACAGGGGTTGAAGGCCATGGACTCCAATGGACTGGCGGATCCATATGTAAAACTCCACCTCCTGCCTGGAGCAAGCAAGGTCACTGCAACCTTCTCACACGCACACAGCATGGTTCAACTCTCGCTGCACCATCAGCACAAGTTACGATTCCCCGACATGCACACACACACACACACACACACGTCAACACGTGCGTTGCACAAAACACACAGGCGTCATGTGAGCATGCATCACTGGCAGGGCCATCCTTGAGCACTGAAGCTGTTCATGTGGAGAACATGCGGTGGAAATGGGTGGATTCAGTGAGTGCTTCAGCACTGAATTATTCTCTCTTTCATTTCCGTTCATTTTCATCACATGTGACGAATGCACGGCGCTGTAATCTGTTCAAAGCAGGCCAGGCTGAGACAGGAGCAGTCAGAAGCGTCATGTCTTCTCTCCAGCGGTTTTTACTCTTTTCTGTCCTCCCGCACTCTCGTCCAAATCTCTGCCGCTATATCTCTGTCTATCGCCACATGACCCACTTTGACCTTGGAATACCAACACAGCGTTGAGTGCAGGATGGGAGGGAGGGATGGAAAAAAGAGAGAGACAGATGAGGGGGGACAGCAGCAGGTGGTTGTCATGGAAACAGCACAGATTGTTACACGACTCACGTCAACAGAGGAGTGTATATGTATGAGAGGGAAAGAGAAAACGAGAAGCGTCACGTCTTGTGTACGCTCCCACACACGCCAGCCTGGTAAATATCGACCGCCAGGGTTATACAGACACCTCCGGGCTTTTAAAAGGTGTACGAGCCAGAGATGCCCACCTTCAGACATACACACACTCAGGCACGTACGTGGGCGTGCAGGCATTAAAAGAACCCATTTATAACACTCTCTCTCCTTTTGTCCTTTTACACACTTCATGGTTTCATATGCATCCATATGCAATTATTAAGGGAATAGTTCACCTGAAAATAAATATTTTGTCTTTTACTCGACCTCATATGACATTCCTTCTTTTTTGTGAAAGATAAAAAGAGCTTTTTTGTTTGTACAATGGAAGTGAATGGTGACCATAACTGCTAAGAAAGATTTTCAGTAGTCACATCTTATATTTCAATCTGTTCCTCACAGAAAGTGTTGGACAGCTTGCAATATAGTGTACATGTCATATGGGCTACTTTTATGATTTTTAAAAAGGCTTGACCCAGTGTTGTTAACTAAAACTAAAACGTTTTCTGTAATTCAGTGTAAAAAAAGAAAAAAAAAGAGCTGAAATAAAATATAAATATTAGATGAAAAACTTAAACTTGTTTATTTTACATAGTTGTCAAGGCATTATTTCCAATTTATGATATTTAAGAGGGCTTGTCCCAGTGTTGTGAACCTAAAACTAAAGCACTAAATCATACTCCGTATTTAAAAAATAAAAAATAAAAAATAAAAGATATATATATATATATATATAAGATGAAAACTAGTTTTTTTTTATTTAAATCTATTTATTTCAGTTAGTTGTCAAGACAACAATAATTGTCTAATTTGTCAAATTTTTTTACATTTTAAGGTAAAGTACTAAAATACATGAAATAAAAATGCATTAAAGCTATTTAGAAATATTAAAAAAAACATAATAAAATTACTAAAACAAACTAAAATGAAAACTGAAAATATAAAAATAAAAGCTTCAAAATTTTCAAAATATTAGAAATGTTGCCTAGACAACACTCCGTACAATAAAAGTCAATAGTGACCATAACTGCTATGCAAGATTTTCAGTAGTCACATATTACATTTGATTCTGTCCCTCACTTAAAGCATCGTATTGCTTCAGAACAATTTAAATTTAGCACACAAATCATATGGGCTACTTTTATAACGTTTAAGAGAGCTTAACCCAGTGTTGTTAACTAAAGCTAAAATGTTTTCAGTAATTGAAAAAAAAAACAGGAATAAAAAAATGAATATTAAATAAAAAATTTGAAACAAAAAAAGAAAATGAGAAATGTTGCATTGACAACTAACTGAAATGTGTTTGAAATACTAAAATTTGTGAAACTAAAATAAAATTAAAGCTTTATAAAAATATTAAAAATATATATTAAAAATTACAATAGCACATTACAAAATTACTAAAAGCTAAATAAAAATGAAAACTGAAAATATACAAATAAAACCTAATTCAAAATATTAACAAATGCTACAATAGCTAGTCCCCATCCACTTTCATTGTATGGAAAATGGCAACCTGAACACAGCAGCTTTGGGACAACATGGCGATGAGTCATTTTTGCTTGAACTATCCCTTCCTCTTGTGCAGGAACTCCATCAGCCTCCCATAAAAAGTGCAGGAAGCATAAGGAAAAAAGCGAGAGGGAGGGAGAGATTGTAGGGCTGGAGAGTGGCCCCTTCTTAGTCGAGTGTGTGTGTGTGTGTGTGTGTGTGTGTGTCATCATCACACAGCATGGATAATGAGATATCTCTTCCAAGCTGCTGTTCTGGGAATCTCACTGCCCTGGGCCAGATGGAGGGAGGAAAGGGAGAGAGAGAGAGAGAAAAGGGGAAAGAGAGAAGTGAAAGTTGAGGATAAAATATTTAGAAGAAAATGTGATAGCACCGATTTGGCAGGAGCATCACACAGCATGGATAATGAGATATCTCTTCCAAGCTGCTGTTCTGGGAATCTCACTGCCCTGGGCCAGATGGAGGGAGGAAAGGGAGAGAGAGAGAGAGAAAAGGGGAAAGAGAGAAGTGAAAGTTGAGGATAAAATATTTAGAAGAAAATGTGATAGCACCGATTTGGCAGGAGGAGAGAGACAGGTGAAACCATATGCTGTTGCAGGCAAATATGCAATATGAGTGAGGAGCTTGGAGAAAAATAGCTGAAAAGGTAGTAGGGGTAATTAGCCATTTTTTGATGAATGCTTGAAAGGCAAACTCTGATTATATGAGTGTACAACCAATACTATGTTGTTATGGTTAACACAGTCTTTACTGTCTAAAGTGCCATGCTTTTATTCCACTTAACAATCACTGAAGTTTAAAGTCAACATGAAAATAAAGTTTACTTTCTTAATGCACTTTTCTAGTAAAGTGAATAAATTAATTAATTAATTAATACTTTAATTTTAAATTACTTTAAGAATGAATTAAAATACTTTAAGGATGCATTAAATCAAAAGTGGCTATTAAGAGATTTATAATGTTGCAAAAGATTTCTAAATAAATGGCAATCTTTTGAACTTTATATTCATCAAAGAATCCTGAAAAATGTCACTGTTTTCACCATTGAGAATAATAAGAAATGTTTCTTGAGCATCAAATCAGTATATTAGAATGATTTGAGAAGGATCATGGGACACTGAAGACTGGAGTAATGGCTGCTGAAAATTCAGCTTTGCCATCACAGGAATAAGTTTGAAACCTATTGAAATAGAAAACTGTTCTTTCCAGACTTTCTTTCCAAAACATTAAACCGTAATGTATATGTATATATATTATATTTATATATTTCCAGGAATATGGTTGTACCACCATTGTACCAAGGTACATTTTTGTATGGGATGCTATCAGATAATACTGTAATACCATGGTACTTTGACATGTAATGTTTGGTACCTTCTTATTGAATTGTAAATACCATGGTAAATACTGTATGTTAAATACTTAATATGGTCTTACCATCTAACGCCATCACTGTACCATGGTACTTCCACAGTAAAATGTGTGTCTGTCAATTAAATCAGTTGTGGTTTGAATGGTGCATTTCAAGTCCCAGTAGCTATTTGCTCAGTTGGTGCTGTTTTAATGAATTGTCACATGTATTTTTTGCTAATGTCTGTTGGAATTAAAGTGTGTTTATTCATTTGCCGAGCATCCTCGGGGGACGAGAGAGGATAGCCAAGCTTGGCTGGTTCCAGCTTTAAATGCAGCAGCGCAGAGAGTAGAACAGATCAAGAGAGAGAGAGATGAAATGAAATATGCAGAGAAGCAACATGTTCTTCAGGCAATGAATGACGTGGACTCGCTCTATCAGCAGAGCGAGCGCGAGAGAGGCTGCGGTTTGGGAGGTTGTGTTTGGGTCTTTACAGCTAGAGCGTTTCTTTGATTTAACACTAATTTGCTAAATGAGCTGTTGCAGGGTAATTGCCCAGTTTGGGGAGTTGAGAGTGTGAGAGTATGGGGTGGGAGCAGAATTTTAGGGAAGAAACAGCCGGGGTGATGGTGAGCTGTGGATTTGTGTGTGTTGTGGGTGGTCAGATTTGGCCTACATTGAGAGGAGCAAACGTCCCCACAAGCAGTGGAACCATTTTTCAGGGAGTACCAGCGGTGGTACTGGCTCACTCTGTACCCTAGGCAGGGTGTGACATGACTACAGGGGGGAAAAAGCACTTTTCTACTTGCTTTGTAGTGTTTTGTGTGAGATGAGTTCAGTGTTACAGTTTTTGTGCAGCGTGAAAGGGGACCCGGGTTCAAGCCCCGACCTAATATGATGTTGTTGTTGTTTGAATATACCAAGCAAAATTTTTACTGAACTTGACAGCCAGCCATCAGCATACTTTTTTTTTGCCAGGAAAAGAGCAATTTTGACATTTTATTCTACAGGAGGAAAAGTCATGCATGTTTGGAGCAATATGGGTGTGCATGAATGATGACAGAATTTTTGACTCTGTTGAACTGGCCAGATTTAGATGGAACACCTTTTTTACTTACAGCAACAACACAAATGAATTAATAACATACATTTTTGGAAGTTTCTTTTAAAATTGTCTTCATGGGTATGATGCTTTTGCCCACAAGGATAGTAAAACATGAAATCACCTGCTTTGTAGAGAAAGCTAAAGTTCATATATAATGAACATACACATACACAAAAATATGTAATAATAATATTAATAAAATAAATAATGTTAATATATTGAAAATGCTTTAAAATTATCAATCTGTCTGTCTATCCGTTCGTCCATCTGTCTGTCTGCCATTCTGTTTATCGCTCTAAATATCAGTATCTATCGCTCTAACTATTGTTCTATCACTCGATCATTAGAGAATACGCTTATTTTAGGGTTTGGGTTAATCCTATAATTAGTTTAGTTAAATATAAAATGAGTTGAAATATAAAAACAAACAGAAATGTATCATTGCTCATGATATGCTCATTTAGAAAGCTAGGTAAACAAGTGTATGTATGTGAGTATTAGGGGGAGCAGATTTTAGGGTAAGAAACAGAAGGGGTAATGATGATTGTGTTTGTGACAGAGGGGAGGTGAGCTGTGGAAAGCCTCCCATCCTCTCTCTCTCCTCTGCAAAGTAGGTGAGCAGATGTCTGCCTTTCACCTGAGGGAGAAGAGATAAATGATGTTTCCTCTCCTGTCCTCCCTGACTGACTCTCCTCTTCATCTCTCCCACTGTCATCTCTACCCAGATGCATCATGCTCATTCTAGGGGCATGTGTCCCCTCAGATTTTTGGTCCAAGTAGATTTAAAAATCCTATTTCTTAAAAATTATTGCAGGTAAAATAGGTTCTGAAATACTGGCACTTTCACTTATCTAAATTTGGAGAGTCCAGCTGAGCCTTACACTTACATAAACTAAGTTTTTTTCTCTCTCTCTCTGCATCTTAATGTATCTCACCTTGGCTACAAAATGAGCCAGGACTGCAAAAAGTGCATGACACCTCTGTCTCAAACTATTTATGTACTTTGTTAGGTGTAGCTGGATACTTCCTAAGTTTTTCTGTGTCCTTGTCATAATTAAATATCATTTCAGATTTTATTTATTTATTTTTGGTTAAACACGTGGTACAAAATTAAATTATTACTACACCTGTTTAGCAGCTGTAAAAAAAAATGTTACCCTGCATTTTTAAAAATTATATTAATTTTTTTAATTATATTACATTCTTAAATTATATTACGTTTATACATATTTATGTTTTTATATTTATATTTTATGTATTTTTATTTTATTATATGTCCATTTGAGCCATTCTCATGATGTGATAAGATCGCCCTGTCAAAAAAAGTCTGTCATCATTAAACAGAAAAATGTGGTGCAGTATTGATATTGATGTTTAATGTGCAGTTATGTGCAAATCCATATTTATACATATTTCGGTGATGTTCATTCAAGATAAAACTACAACATAAAACTTCAGCTTCAACTCCAGTTACTGGCCTTAATCACTACATGAGTTTAGAGCTCGGTTTCTTCATTTAGGATGTACTGGGGTGATGTGGTGTTGTGGTTAAGGCTCAGGCTGGTAACCGCGGGGTAGCTTGACCATCACCATTATGCACTTGAGCGAGGCACTTAACCCCATGTTGCTCCAGGGGGACTGTCCCAATAATAAGCTCATGGTGCTGTTCTATGATGACATTGCGTAAAAGTCATGGAAACATTCCACTGGATATATGGTGATAAATTAAAGCTTTATTTTAATGGAATAATGTTTGAGAACGTGTTTCAACCTCACCTGCACTGAAAAAAGTCATTGTATTCATCAGTATTTTTGTCTTGTGTTTCAGTAAAAACATCTAAACATCATTAAAAACAGACAAATTCTTGTTTTCAGAGAATATATCTTGAATTAAGTTTCTTGTTTCTTCATGTTAAAGAAGTTTCTTCTTTATGTTTCTTGATTTAAGGTACAATATTTTAAAAAGGAAAATTTTTCTAATGGGGTAAGAAAAGCTTAATTGTAAGTTATATTCCCTAAAAATAAGTCGTCTTATCTTGCATAATTTTGTGTATAATATATGTGTGTAAAATGCTCTATAAAATTTATAGAGAACCAAACCAGCACTAACAAGCACAAACAAGCTGGAATTTTGGTTTAGGTTGGTCTTTTCGGCAGTGTTTTATATATATATATATATACAAATTCACTAGCTACCCCACAATAAATCTTACTTCAATTGTTACATCCAAGAGTAATAAAAATGATGTCCATTACAGCTCAGTCTGGGATAGAATTTGCCTGAAAAGGCAAAAAATATTGCTGTATGTGCTCAGATGAAAATGATCTTTAGGAGATAGGATAGGAGAGGTTGTGTGGAAGCCCTTATATGGAGGTGATTTGGGCGTGTCTTATGCTAATGACTAACTGAAGCACACGCTCCCTCATTTACAATAATCTGGGTTCATCAACATTAGACTGATGGTAAGAACAAATTTATGTGTGCGCACAGCTGTTTCAAAGCCAGCAGAAATTTTGTGCGAGCAGCTTTGTCTTGACCCAGTGTGTGTATAAATTAACTTCGTTATCAGTCTCAATACACTCTCCCTCTCTTTTTCAGGCAAATAAATTACGCACTAAGACTTTAAAGAACACGCTGAATCCAGTGTGGAACGAAACGCTCATCTATCACGGCATCACGGCTGCTGACATGACCACCAAAACCCTCAGGTACTGTACCACCTCTGTTTTCCATTATCCTCACCAGCTTCAAGTATTTTTGGTTCTACTTGCACTTTCAATTCACCTTTGAGTATATGGCTCTCTGTTAAACCCTGTGAGTGTCTCCATCCGATGTATTAATGACAGTGAGAGCGTGTGAGTCATTTGTGTGTGTGCATGTGTGAATTTCATTACTTTCAGGTCAAGTCAACTCTCCAGAAGCACATTGCCACTCGGAGCACATTGTGTGTGGGCATGTGTGTATGAGTGTGTGTCTTCGACAGTGTGTAGTGGACGTCTCTGTGGTGCAATAACACACAATAACCTTAAGGTAACACCCACAATGTGGTCTAACCTTCGGTGTAGAGGTATGGTACAATTTGAGCAATAAAACTCAGAGGACAGAAAGAGATAGGGGCAATTTCTCTAGAAATGTAATAGAAACCCTTGTGATCCACAGCTGGGAAACAAACCTAGCAGGAGCTCTCGTGGGATGAGAGAGAGGGAGAGATAAAGAGAGAGCGAAGCAGCTTGCTTTACTTGTTCCACTTTTTGGTTGAGACCATGAAAAATTTGAGTTTCATGCTGAAAGAGTTTTTACCTCAACCCCGATTTACCTCAGTGTTTCAATCCAGAGATTTTTGCCTCTGCAGTACGCTAAGATATTGTAGAAATTGTGAAATTGTTTAACACAGAAACATCTTTGTAGTTTAAGAAAAACAATTAGCTGCATACATTCTGCCAAAAGTGTTTCTTGTGGTAAACATGGATTCTCGCCACTTTGGAATCCCACTGGATGAGTTTGATTCGATGATACTTTCCGCTCTGTTACGCTCTGTGACCATCATCCCGAAGAGCAGGTTGTCGGAGCCCAGGGCATAGATGGAGTATGTCACCACAGGCAGCGTCAGCACCTTGTCACAGTGACTATGTCTGGGCTGTGACAGCTGGCCGATCTCAAACCTAACTGCAGTAGTTCAGTGAAGGGTGAGGCGAGAAGAATTCATATTTTATGTATAAAATCCCAAACATTGTAATGCAAGATTTTGGAGATCTGATCCAAAGCGAGTAGTTCCATATTTACTATATTTCCTCCCGTATGGCCTTCTGTCTTTTCTATCATCAGCTTGTCTTTTGTCATGTGAATGTAATTTCCCACATGAGAGCAATGACTGCTGGTGGCAGGCTATTGGCAGGAAACATTTTCTGAATGTGTTATCAATAGTGCTATTGTGCCGTTATAGAAAAGCATCCTATGCTATTACCAGAGTCGTCATCATAACAGGTATCACTGAAGCATACAGTATGTGTTCATTGTTCATTAGTAGGCAGTGTGAGTGTTCTTTTAGGAGCCTAGCAGACAAATTTGTTTTGCCACATTTTAAAAACACCCTGACTCTGTGCCCTAACCAGACGTGACACTTTACAGCGTCATTTTTTCTGCTCTCACAAGAGTGAAAATGCATGATGCAATGATTACTGCCAATCAGAAGTTTAATGTTCAATATACAGTTGTGGGGAGGGATTTTTGACAACTTTTCAACATTTTTGATAGTTCTGGGTGGAGGAATTAGATTTATCATAGTGAAAAAAATTGTTTAGATACATTCACTGATTCATGGTCAATCTATCCATCATTCTAGCTATCATTCTATCTATTCAGTGTTTTATCATTCTATCCATCCATCCATTGTTCTATCAGTCAATCCATCCATCCATTCATTGTTCTATCGGTCAATATATACATCATTCTAGCCATCCATCATTCTATCGTTCAATCAATCCATCCATCCTTTCATCGTTCTGTCAGTCAGTCTATCCATCATTCTAACCATCCATCCATCCATAGTTCTGTTGGTCAATCCATCCACCATTGTTCTATCGGTCAATCAATCCATCCATCCACCATTCTGTTGGTCAATCTATCCATCATTCTAGCCATCCATCCATCGTTCTATTGGCCAATCAATCAATCCATCCATCCATCCATCGTTCTGTCGGTCAATCTATCCGTCATTCTAACTATCCATCCATCGTTCTATTGGGCAGTCAATCCATCTATCCATCCATTGTTCTGTCGTTCCATCAATCCATCCATCCATCCATCGTTCTGTTGGTCAGTCCATCCATCCATCCATCATTCTATCATCGTTCTATCGGTCAAACAATTCATTGTTCCACTTTTAGGTTGAGACCATGAAAAATTTGAGTTTCATCCATCGTTCTATCGGTCAATCAATTCATCCATCCATCATTCTGTTGGTCAGTCTATCCATCATTCTAGCCATTCATCCATCCATCCATCCATCCATCGTTCTATTAGTCAATCAGTCAATCCATCCATCCATCCATCGTTTTGTCGGTCGGTCGGACGGTCCATCCATCCATCGTTCTGTCGGTCAATCCATCCATTGGTCAATCTATCCATCATTCTATCATTTTAGCTATCCATCCATCCATCCATTGTTGTAGCATCATGTGGAGCAGTTTTAGATATTGTAAGATGTGTTAAATGAAGTTGAGTGTACTGCACTCTTATTGGTAGCTGAAATCATTAATCGAATTAGCATATGAACCACTTAATAAACGTGTGAAAAATTCAGAATGACGAGGAGTCAAATTCTGCATAAACCTGTGGAGCTTTTTTGTGAAATCCTGTGGGCACAGGTTCTGCGTGGGTCTGCCCATGACTCATCTGACTCTCAAGTTCGATACTGAATAAACACTGAATAGTACCTGTCTTTCGTAAGTCCTGCATGCTGGTGACTTCTGACTGCATGCAAACTCTCGGCATAATCACTGTGACTGACATTAACAAGGAAAAGCTCAACCCCACAAGTAATAAATAGCAGCTTCAGGAAGAACGGTCCCCAGGACAGGTTACAGGAAGTGGAGAGCACCTGTTATCCACCTCCTGTGTGTGCATATGTTTATGTGAGCATGTGTACACACCTGGCTGGAAGGAATGACTAATGAAGCCCTAGAAGCCAACAAGATCATGATGTCAGTGTCATCTGCTTACGTGCAGCTTCTCGCGCTCTGGATCTTTTGACACCCACATTAACACTTCAGTTCTTCCTCTCCTACATTTGGGTATTTGTCTTCTCATCCAGGTTTTTCTGCCTTGTATGTTCTTTCCACAGTCTTTTCATATTCATTCATATTCTTTTTCATATTATATTCTTATTCTTATTCTTTTTTTTTTTGTATATTCTTTCCACAGTCTTTTCATATTCATATTGATATTATTTTTCCGTTCTATCTCTGTCGCTGACGTAAAAACCATCTGTCTTCTCTTACATTGTGCACTTTGCTTAAATTCCTCTTTTCTCATTTTGTTTCCTTCCCTTAATCTCCCTCTTTCTCAGTGTCAATACTAGAGGTTGACCGATAATGGGTTTTGCAGGTTTCAATAACTAAGGTGGGGGAAAACAAATTAACCCATAGTATTTAAAATTTATATATTGATGAAAAAAATAATATGGCATATTTATATATTTATAATAGCATATTTTAATCTTTATTCATTTTTATAATATATAATTAATTTTATATAAAATATAAAATACATTATAAAAAACTGAACTTTAACTTGTAACATGTAACTTTAACTTTATGCAATTGAGTTCAAGTCAGCCAGCAGTTAAACCAGTCAGCAATTATACTGATTTAAGTCTCGCATTATATTTCATAATGTCGTCCTTAGAGGATTAAGGACACAAAACACTGTGAAAGAGGTTTGTTTCAAGTCAGACATGAATTGAATGTATGATGCGGTTCAGTGAGTCAGATGTTAATTCAGTAAGCATTCTGGCAGATTCAGTAAATGATAAAAAAAATACTCAGTAGTTGCGGAGTCTTTTGACTCATTAAAGTTTACTTTATCCATCCATCCAACCATTTAATAAATTCATAATTTTCAATTCAGTACTCAATTGTAATGAATCAAATAGACTTGTGAATTATTTCTTCATGAACCAGACTTCACTGGCTGCACTGTTATTTTGTTTTTACATGTGCATCCAGCAAGACAAGACAAGGCGAGGTTTTTATTTTATTTTTTTGCTGTAACCATGTCTTTTAAATTATTATGATTCATTTATATTGTAAGACATCAACTCACATACAGTATCATTTATTTTGTCATGATGCTTTAAATTTAGTAGTTCTGCCATCGAATAGCGATGGATGAAATGCTTCATAATTAATATTGTGACACTTTTTATGTATACAGTAATCTAGTCTTTCAGATTGGTTACATTTCAGAAGTCATTTTAATCTGAATTAATTTTGTCACTGATATTTCTAAATAATTTTAGTAATATTCGGATTTGCATAAAGGTGCTGTTGAACAGGATGATTTAAACTGTGCAAAAAACTAACATAAGTGTTCATTTTACCCAGTATCTGATGAATAAATGAATCATAGACTTATGAATTATTTGCTCTTTTGAACGATTAAAAAAATTACTCTGCAGTTGTGGAGAATTTTGACTCATTAAAGTTGATTCATTCATTAAAAGTGTCAAATGAAATGAATCAAAGAGACTCTCATGAACTAATCATTCATGAATCAGGCTGCACTGGCTGCACTGTTTTTATTTTTACATGTGCATCCAAAAAGACATTACAAAAGATGTTTTTTTTTTTATTATTGTTGTTGGGGTTTTTGCCGTAACCATGTCTTTTAAATCATTATGATTCGTTCAGATTGCAACTCAGATACAGTATATTTTTTATATATATATAATTTTGTGATGCTGTTGATTTAGTAGCTCTGCCACCGAATAGTAATGCATGAAACGTTTAAAAAATAATAGCGTGACTATTTTTATACAGTAATCCAATCCTGCAGATTGTCTTCATTTAAATTCAGAAGTCATTTTATGTAGTAAAGTAATTTTGTCACCAACATTTCTAAGTCATTTTAGAAATATTCGGGTGCTCATAGAGGTGCTGTTGAACTGGGAAAAAATGAACATAAGTGTTCATTTTTCCAGATATCTGATGGTTCCAAAAGCTTTTATCAGCACAAATTAACTGGTCAAAAACCATATTTTGGTCAGCCTCTAGTCCAGGGCTGTCCAAACTCGGTCCTGGAGGGCTGGTGTCCTGCAGAGTTTAGCTCCAACTTGCCTCAACACACCTACTTCTCAGTTCAGAGCCTCAGCTTCTCTTGACATATTTTTTCTATGGCTGTATGTGACACGCCTAACACGTTCTGTCTTGAGAGTTGAGCTGAAGAGTTCTGAGTGCCATCTTTCTCTCTCTCTCTTGCAGGCTGTGTGTGTGTGATATGGATCGTTTAGGACGGAATGAGTTCATAGGTGAAGTCAGGGTGGCCCTCAAGAAACTGAAGGAGGGAGAGAGCAAGAAATACTACATGGGCCTTGAGAGAATTGCACAGGTGTGTGTGTGTGTGTGTGTGTGTGTGTGTGTGAGTGAGTTATTGTGGCCGTTGTGAGGTTATGTCCATTAGAATTTGTACGATGCATAATTTAGTGTTTGGGCATTTGCTGTATTATTAATAACCTTTCTATGGTCTTACAGACCCGGGAGGGTAACAGCCAGGCAGTGGATCCTGGGGCTCCTGTTGCAGAAGAAGAGGTAAAGATCCGATACTTTCCATACCATATTTTAGAACTCTGGAAACTCCCTATTTACACTGAAACAGCCCCGAATGTAGAACACTCACATTCAGGGTACAACGAGGACAAAGCCCCCAGGATAAACAGACCTGATTTTTATTATCTCAAAACACTAATTAGAAAGAAAAGCACTTTCCTGAACACTTGTTTTTCACTTTGGACTGATAAACTGTCCTGGTCCATAAGGTTATCAGGTTCAGTAGCTGATTGAGGTAATTACATTTAAAATAAGTTTTAAATATTTTTCAGATGTCACTAATGAGAATCTCTAAAATTATCATGATTATTTTGAGATAAAATTCTTATAATATTAGCCTGTACTAATATTATATATAGTGTTCTCTAACTAAAAGTAGTTCTTTAATTTTAATGAACTTCTGAAATAAATGAACAGAAAAACATCCTTTGCTCATGGAGTTTTAAGTATATACTCACACTACCTTTCAAAAGTCTCTTATGCTCACCAAGGCTGCATTTATTTGATCTAAAATACAGTATAAACCGCAATATTGTGAAATATTATTACAATTTAAAATAATGAGGCTTTTTCAGCAGCCATTTTCCCTTCAGAAATCATTGTAGTATGCTGATTTGATGCTCGAGAAGCATTTCTTATTATTATCAAAACTGGAAACAGTTTCTTTCAGGAAGCATTTCTTTGAAATAGAATTTTATACATTATTAATGTCACTTTTGATCAATTCAATGCATAATTGTTAAATAAAATAGCTAAAAAAATCTCTGATCCCAAACTTTGTTAGTGTATTTTGAGACAACACACTATTTTTGCCTGTACTAATATTGTAACTGCAATATATATAATGTTCATTTACTAAAAGTTGTGCTTTAGTTTAAGTTAAAAGGTTATTAAAGCCAAAATATATTAAATTAACATAAAATTGGTTCTTTACTGAAGGGGTTTAAGCATATACCTAAATATTAGGGCTGGGTAAAAAAATATCGATATCTCGATATTAATCGATTCTCATTTTTTCGGAACGATTCTTAAATCCCAAGAATCGATTAGTCTAGCCTGTTTTCAGTTAATGGACGGAACACTGAAGGGAACTTCCCATCCAATATATCATAATAAGCATTGTGCTTTGGTACTTTTAATATGAAACAAAGTCTCAGATTTCAAATTCTGTCCATTGTATTGCAGTATTCAAACAATAAATGCCGTTTTGGCGCTGTTTAATGTGGAGTGACAGATCGCTGTTTAGCGCCTCAGATCAACAGACGCAGCAGTGCGAGGCGCACGTGAACTAATCATCTCCTCCACATTAATACCAGTTTCAGCACATAAACAATAAACATGACTAAACATCCGAAGGCAAGTTAAAAGAAAGAGTAAAACTTTACAATCCGTATTCTGTCACATGTAATCGCTCAATCAGTGTTTCCTCCGCGCAAAGATGTCAATAGGCCTATAACGTCTTGTAAACAATGTTACATAACGTCACGTTTACCTCAGAACAACATATTCGGTGACCATAAACTCATTAGTCAGATAGAAAAGTAAACTGTAGAGAGGGGCATTTTGCTAAATATATGCACCATATACCATATTTAATTATAAATTTGACTGTTCTTCAATGTTTAACTTATGTTTGAATAAATCCATCAAGTTTTTATGACATCCACCATTTATATAAAAAAATAAAACGAATTGAAGTAGAAGTATTATTATGTAATTGTAACTTTATTATTTTAAAAACTTCATTAAGTGTAATTTTAACAAATCAGTCAATTTTAACCTTCAATATTATAGTAATGTAGTACCAACTGACTCTCATGTATATTTTACAGCATTAGTTGAGAGATTTTTTTTCCCTTGAGAAAATTTGGTATGTACTGTACCTGATATATATCCAAAATAATCAATATGGAATCGAATCGAATTGAATTGTGAATCGAATCGCAAGCTTGTGAATGAGAATCGAATCGTGAAATTTGTGTCAAAACCCAGCCCTACTAAATATTACTCAAAAATATCTTGCCAAATGTTACTCAAAAATATCTTGCCATATAATTCTTTAAAATTTCATTTACTTCACACTTGGGATAAAATGTCCCTTTTTATTTATTTATTTATATATATATATATATATTTTATGCAAATTTTGTTACTCCCTCTGTATACAATAAAAATAAATATTTTTCCATCATCTTTATTTTGGGCTAGAAGAACAATCACATTGTTCTTAAGGGGATGTTTAGCCCCGTTGTACCGTACTGACATTGATCAGTGGAAACAAGCCTGTCTGTCTGTCTGTTTCTCTAGCGTGGTCGTATCCTGGTCTCTCTGATGTACATCACAGAGAAGAGTTCTCTGATTGTGGGAATTATTCGCTGTGCTCACCTCGCCGCCATGGATTCGAATGGGTACTCAGACCCCTTTGTCAAAATGTGAGTCTTCTGTCACTTTTTTTACAGAGTGGACAGTGCCAAAGTAACAGGAATTGATAAAAGAGGCAGATGGAGTCACATGAATGCCTATTCATGTCAAGTCTGAGTATTTAGCATTGCACAAGCATACAAAGCCAGGCAGTCAGAATAAACCAGCTTTGTTCGCAATATGCATCAGATAGTCATCGAACAGACTGTTTTTTGGTTTGTTGTTTTTTAGAAGTTTGAAATGAGACCCATGGGCTTTGTGTGATGATTTGAGCCTACAACCCCACACGAGTGGAGCTAATGTTGTAATCAGTACCTCAAAGCACCGATGTTAGAGTTAAAGCAAATTAGCAGACAAGTACAATCCCCAGGGCTCCTGTAGTGAGTCAGTGATGGGCATGATTATCATTTTCACAGCTTTTATTTAATTTTCACATTTATTACAATCAAAAAAAGCAAGTTTTAACAAGCATAATTTTGTTTCGTCCTCCCTTGAATCATTGCATAGCACAGCATCAGGCAAACGTAAGAACATGTAACTGCTTTATGACTCAATTCATTGGCATCGCCCTCCTCCTAGTTAGCATCATGGATTTCATTTCTGGGTGATTTATTTCTCTCTGTACCTCCGGCTGATCATAATTTATCCCCCTGTGGGTTCTTGCGAAGAATAATTCAAAGTCCACCCACACATTAAGACACGAGGAGATTTTATTTAGAGGCATAGGGAATTAATGGGGCATAGAGATTCACAGAGGCAAGTGGAAAGTCAGAAAAATCTCGGCCGTTGCTTTTTTTTAAATCTTGCACTCTCAGCTTCGGCTTCCTGCCCTCCGTTTCCCATCACATGCTCTTTTATCATTTCTTATACCTCTTCTTCTCGACTCTATCCATTCCTCACACTCTCTCTCTCCTCTCAAGTTTGATAAGCATGCATAAATCTTGGACCACTCTCTTCCTGTTGATGGGGTCCTGTTCATTCTTATCGTGAATGTATTTTGATGTGTTGTGTGATGCAGAGGAGTTTTTTCCACTATCTGCTCCGAGGAGATTAGGATTTCCTTGTTTATCGTGCCAGTTACAAGCACTGATGGGCTCACTGGAGCAGTGGAAATCTATTGTTGGAGAGTGGACTGCTTTTATACAGCAGGATAGACTGCTGGGAGTGTGCTTGTGCATGTGTGTGTGACAGCTGCTTTAGACTTGTCAATATAGTTTAGGATAAGGTGGAAATTTTGACTGCATCTCTCGTGACACGTATGAAAGCATGGCAGAGGCTTGTTTGGATGCTGGGATTGTTTGTGCATTGTGACGGCTGGAGATGTTATTTGGCTTTTTTGTCCGCTGAGGTTGATTCCAGTTATGGCTGGATTTAGCTGGAATTTATTGAAGCAGCAAACTAATTTTATTAGATTGGATTTTCTACATCAGTCACTCTTGACTTTTTAATAGAAATAAAGGCTTTAATTGTAATTATTTATTGTATTCCAAAAAAACTTGAAATTGCTTTACACACTGAGGAAGGCTTTGAGCCGAAACGTTTGTGTCTTTTCCCATCAGTAATGAATGTAAAATAAAAGAAAAAAGAAGATTGTTCTCGTGAGTGCGGATCATAATTTCCTATACTAAGTAACTCAACAGATTGACGCACCAAAATAAAAAGATCAAGTAACGCAAGAACGCAGTGCAAACGACGTTGTTAAATTCCAAAAAAACTAAAATAATGTGAAGTAACTGTCAACACCAATAATGTAAAAAAAAAAGAAAAAAAGGGTGTTTTCAGTGTCACTAATTAGCTAATGTAAATTATTTACATTTAAATATCAATTATATATATATATATATAATATTATATATATATAATTGTGAAACGGGGCTAAACAGTTTTTTGTATTTCTATTTTATTTTTATGTATTTCTATTTTTTGTTTTTTTCTATTTATAAATGTGACTGATTTTTTTGACTTTTTATTAAAACTAATTACAATTAATTACCGTTCAAAAAAAACCTATTAAAAATAATATTTTGGTTTGCAATAATATCTAGAAATTATACCACTAAACCCCCTATAAATTATTTTAAATTTATTTGTTTGAAAATGATGGCATATGAATTGGTTTGACATTTTAACCCATTCTAACAGATTTGGCCATGGGTCAACAGGCGATCGTTATTGTTGAGTCCTGGACTGGCTTAGTCTGTAATAGAGGGAACATGAAATTGGACACAAGTAGGGATTAACTGTGGAGGGAAACTGGGGGCCAATCAATACTGTAGTCGTTCCATAGGGGGAAAGAGAAACAAAATCTCTAGATTTAGAGAGTTGCAGCTAATGACGTTCACATGTTTTTTTTTTTCTGTTTTTCTCAGGCAACAGTGTCTGGTTTTAACCGAAGAAGCTTATGCAGGGAAGCTTACCCACAACTCTCTATCTCTTCTCTCCTGTATGTGAATTTAATCACCATATCCAGGTTGCTAGAAGGAAATCAATTTAATCAATGTGCTAAGGCAAGGCTACAGGCATTTTCAGAGAAATTCAGGAAAGGAATCTACACATCAGCTGTGTTCGAAACATCTCAAATGTAATTACCCAAGAAAATCATTTCTAGACATAGCCTTTCCATTCAATAAAGTTTTTTTTTGAGCAATCAGTGATTAATTCATTATTTTCAGCAGAGATCGTGTGTGTGCAGAGGCAAACACTTTTACAAATTACATAATTCAGATTATCTGATAATTGTTATACTTTAAATAGTTTTATTTTCTTGGGATGCAAAGATAAAAAGGCTAATTAATTACTTAAAAGTTGATGAAATACATTTGCAAACCATTTTACTTCCAGCATGTGACGTATTCCCTAGGGAAACAGGATATTCAATGACAGTTTTACCCTTTAGTACTATAGTTAACTAAAACTGAAAATAAAATTAAAACCATAAAAAAACTGCTATTTGAAGTAAACGTTAACTGAATAAAATATAAACAAATTATTATTTTAAGTAGTTGCCAAGGCAACTTTTGTCATTTTCATTTAGTTTAACTTGATGTACTAAAATAACTTAAATGGGGCATAACTCACAGTTTCACCCAATCTCATGTTAATCTTGAGTACCTATAGAGTAGTACTGCATATTTCATATCTCCAAAAAGTCTTTAGTTTTATCATATTTATAAAAGAAAGATACAGCTTTACGATTCTCTCCGGAAAAAGCAGAGCTCCTGGAGGCGCGCCGTGGGTGGAGCTAAAGAGTGATGAGCACTTGGGCGTCGAATGCCAACAAAACAGACATTTGATGCCGTTTCACTTACCGTCTGCAGTTCTGAATCATGACCGGGATCTTTTATAGCTGGGACCGCTCCATCTTTCAGTATCAAACGATGTGCAAATCCAGCTCGAACTGGGCCTTGTTTATAAAACGTTCGTCAACAAACACACCTGTGAAACTCCGTTGCTGCTCTGGAAAAACAAACTGTATCCACTGTTTACATAACGCTGGGTTCTTTAGGAAGCTGAACAAAGTTATCTTTCCTTTACAACCAAAAACACACTTCTTTGGATTGGAGACATTCTTCCCGAGCAAGTCCCATGCAGCGCTGCCGCCAGATGAAGTGCGTTGATGGGCGCAATCTCGCTCTTGCTCTGGTCGATGCGTGCGCGGGCACGTTCTTCCGGGAGAAATGTATGAAACAGCATTGTACCCCCCCTTTAAACTAAAACTGAAATAAAAATTAATAAAAACTGTATAGACATTAAAAAACTACTAAAAATGACAAAAACACACAACAAAATTGCTAAAACTTTAACTAAAATAAAAATTAAAATGGAAAATATAAAAATAAAAACTATAATAGTATCTCAATGATACTAAAATAGCGCTGTTTAGGACTTGATTAGATCATGATCTCTTCATGACAGGTTATTGGAGATGATTAGTTTGGTGAAATTAGCCAAAATGGAAAGATGCTTTCAGAAGCATTTAAAGATGGTATTTGTCTTTTGAATAACATGCTCCAATAAATAATTAGGCATGGGCATTTTTCAAAAATATTGTATTAGAATATTTGGTCTCATAAAAGACTAATATTCATATATTCGTTTGACGTTTAGCGGGAAAGACGTTATTTTTTTAATACTCACATTTTTGTCACAATTTCTGAACAAGCTTATGATTAGGCATCATACACAACAATGTTCTACAACAACGTTACATTATATCTCAAGGTTTTCTTTAAGTTGAAAACGTGTGTAAACAACATATATATATATATATATATATATATATATATAAGAACAAAAGCATTCTAGCTTAAGCAGAGCAAACAGAAAAAAATAAAGCAGACCGTGCCAATTACAGTACAGAATGTACATATACTCAAGTTGGCCTATGTTTATATTGTCTCACATCATGTTAATGTTGGGAAAAACAATAATATCCACATGAAAGTGGGCTCCTCAGTCTGATAAGACCATGTGCCAACACAGACGTTCCAGAGGCACAAAGATAACGGTGTGCTAAGCAAAGTTTCTTACAGCGCTTTGTGTTTTCTGTTCTTAAACCACTCTCCCTCGAGGAAACTTAAAGGAAGCATATGTCTCAAGATCATTTGGCTATCAGATAAGCTGTCTTCTCGGCTCACTCGGGTACAGCTGCGCTTACCCGCAGTCGTGAATGCAGTGATGGACAGCTGTCTTTTCTCGGTCCAATGGTGTTTGGATTTCATGTGTTTTCTCATTGTGGTGGTGATATTATGATAACTCCGTTTCACTGATTCATTTGATCAAAAGTAATTCCATTTTGTAAGATCATTTAGTAAGATCATTTTGATCAAAGTAATTCCAAACTTCACGAGGCAGACAACGACATTCTGTGATCAAATACAGTTAACTTGTTAACTATCTGTGCCACCCAGTGCATTTAGTTATAACTGACTTTTAGTTTGCGTGCTTAGGATTCATCATGGATTCCCTGCATTTACGGCCAGCAAAGCAACACGTAGTAAAATTTAAATAG